TATATATATATATATGTGGAGTGTATTAGTTTATATTCTAAACATATATGCATGTAATAGATTCAGTGGTAATAGTTCAAAGTAAACAAAGATTCAAATATAAAGCATACTTACAATGAATGTCTCCTTGAACAGTTCAAGTTCAGCAATAACCCGCTTTGAAAAGTCAAAGAACAGTTGCTTCAAGTTATCGAGATCCCTTGAAATTGAATTCATGCGATTGATTACTTCAGAGTCATTGGTGTTTTGTGATTTACCATAAAACTGGGAATCATTCTTAATGAATTCATTTTTGTTGTTGAAAAATGGTCCCAACAACAAAGCTTGCTTCTCCGCCGGGGTAGGTGAAACATTTTTAAACTGTGAAAAAAAAAGAATTACGTAACATTATTTACTATAAAAACAACAACAAACTTTGTATATATCATATATATGTATTGATTACATATAATTTGATGTAATAAAAATACCTTGCTTGAATCCAAATTTGAGAAGGCCCTCTCTATAAAAAGTCGGTTAAAGCTGTCCCGAACTTCCCACCTGAGCAATCTAGGTATAGGTTGACCTTGGAGTGATTTGCATACCATGCCATCCGCAGTTTTGCAAATTTCATAGAACCATATCTGAAGGGCAAGTATAAGTCCATAACATCGGTATAGGTAACCTGAACCATCTGTCTTAACATTGTTGTGCATCTGTTGCCTGTTTCGAATGGACTTCTTCAGATATTGCATTGTAAACTCAAAAACATCAACTCCCCAAGGGTATTCATCAAATTCCGAGCCATCAATAACATTAAGGTAGCATCTTTCCACACGATGTGTATCCTGCGATCCCATTAAGAAATTTCCTAGAAAATGTAACTTAGCAAATTTAACCGCATCATCGTCGGATTTCCATGACCTTTTTAAAAACTGCCACCTTATGCAGTTACGACTTAGGCCAACCTCAGCAAAATACTTGTCGTAGAGGCCTTGCTGGACTTTTGGGATGTTCAGTTTTTTGCAAGACCCGATACACTTAAGACCAGTTATGAGGGCAAACTCGTCTATCCCAAAACGAAGTAATTTACCTCCAAAGTCAAACCAAATTTCATTGCTCCTAGACTGATAGACCTCTCGTAAAAGTATATGGTTGACCAACTGGATTTGTACCTTGCACAATGGAAGATCGAGAAACTTACCAAATGCCGAACTCCTAAAAATCTCGAGCTGCTGGGGAGTAAGCATTTTTTTAATTTCATTGATGGTCGACCCATCCTTGCTATTATCGTTACTGCTCATAATTTTGGCATTTATATTCCTCGGATATGGTATAAGTAATTCCCATTCCTGTAACATAAATAAAGATGCAATTAATAAAAAAAAAAAATTATTTCCTGCTATATGATAGTTACCATATACATGTTATGTAGCAAACATTAAATAATATGAATAATGAATTAATGGACTTTTTCCAACAATATGAAAAGATACTATGAGCATTATGAATTAATATTAATCAATTACTTGCAATATGACAATGACAGCAAAAAAAAAAAAAAAAAAAAAAAAAAAAAAAAAAAAAAAAAAAAAAAAGAATTTCAATTGACAAAGTTACTTACTACCAGCAGACAAACTTCCCCAAAAAAAATTAAAAATAATAACAATTCGACATTGAAAAAAATTGAAAAAAGAGATTTTAATTGACTATCAACACAATGAATTTCACTATGAGCTTTTGCTGCTGCATTGACTATGACTATACAGAAAAGCAAAAAAATGGTTTAAATTGAAAATCAACACAATGAGTACAAACATGAAACACATTCATATATTAATTATAGACAATCAGAGGGAAAAAATGAAATTCGAAAAAAACAGAAGAATTACCTTAAAGCTTTCACTTATGTTCAATTCCTCAACGGGATTTCTCGAATCGACACATGGTTTATGTAGAGGACGACCACGAATTTTGCGTTTCTTAGATTTTTCTTTAATTACTTTGTCGTCTTCTTCTTCGTCGACGGAACATTCTTCACTGTCACTCACATTGGCTTGAATTTCATCCTCAAAATCGGAATCCGATAACTTCATATTTTTTCCAGATCTCGCCACTTTCTTGTCGAACCGCAGTTTCTTTTGCACAAGGGATGGGTGCTTGTTTAAATTGATATCCCGTAGACGGGAACTCGACCTCCGATGTGTGAAATTTTCGTCCCCGACAGATGGGCTTCTCCCAAATTTTGTCTTCGCCATTGTTGTTGAGATTGAGAGAATATAGGGTTTGAAACAAATCAGACGCAATATAGTTGTGGGAGAGAGAATGAAGATTTATCATTACCTTTTTTATCGGGGAGCGTTTTCATTCAAAAAAACTGTATAATAACTTTTGTGGCATATCTGCAAATAAAAGGTAGAATTTGTTTAATACTGCAATAATTTTTAAATTGATATTTAATATGTAATAAAAAGCCTAATTGATAGTGTTTTGAGTAATTTTCTTTTTTTTTTTTGTTTAATATTGACGGGCCAGCCCGCGGGCTAGCCCGCCCCGCCCCGTCTTGGCCCGCGGCCCGTGCGGGCTGGCCCATTTAGGCCCGCTCCCCAACGGACCTTTAAAATCCTAGACCAACCCGCTCCTTTTGCGGGGCGGGGCGAGCCGGCTCGCGGGCTGCGGGCTTTTTTGACAGCTCTAATTATCTTTATAGATTTTTTAAAAATCTAAATTTTACTTGTCTAATTACTAATATATTAGATACTTTTAAATATTATTTGTATGATTTTTTTTACACATTTGCTCTCTCTATATATACATATATGGAGGTTAAATGAAGAATTTTTATACATATTTTCCTTACGGGTAGTTTAGAAAAATTTTAGTAGATTCACACATTATTTGTGAATAATATAGAATATTTTAGATGTTTTTATTAAAATATTTTAAATATTTTTAATATTTATATATCACACTTAAAAAGAATATTTTGCCAAAAAAAAAATAAAAAAAAATAAACGCACAGTGTAAATGTTAATAGAAACAGTCTTCAATGTTTGTCTTTGATATTGTCAAAACAAATCTCATAAAAATTGTGAAGTCAAAATTTGTACATAAAGTCTATCTATACTAAAAAAATGTAGATTCAAAATTCATTATCTAATTTATTCTTTTCCTTATCTAATTCTTTCTTATTATCTAATTGTATATAAATCTGTTCTGATTTTGTTCAATCCTTTAACTGTATTTGTATTATATCCCATAAAATCGGTTTAACATAAAAAATCCCATAACATCCTTATGTAAAAAAAAGTACGTAAATCTTTACTAAAATAAAAAATGCTTTATTTATTCTCTAATTGTATGGAAATATGTTCTGATTTTATAGTACGTACTACAAATTGTGAACTCGTGTTCACGAGCTACTTAACGGGCAAGCTCTATAAAAATAACTCATTTAATGCTTATGTCCCGTGCATACTGTATGTATTTGTATTACACATACTAGAAAATTGTGCACCATGTGCATCACACCGACTCTGTACTAATAAATGACCTTAAAATTGTGCATCTCATGTATCACCCGTGTTCACATTTTGGTCTATTACAGGTCACGTACTATATATATCCCGTACATTTTTCTTTATTCATCTATATAATTATACGACTTGATAAATGACCTTAATTTTGTGCACCCCGTGCATCGCACAGGATCTGTACTAGTTCTCCTATAAAGATAATAAGTATTTACTATATATAGTATGAAAAAAATCTGAGAACACTTAATGCATAGCTTATTTAGAAAATTTTTAAATATGTGTTACTTGTTTGCATATAAATGTTTCCAAATCAGATCAATTCAAATATGATAAAAAAAAAAAAAAGATTCTTTCCTTGAACAATATTATTAACACTACAATAATTTCATTGATACCAATTATAATAAGCTACAAAATTGATTTTCCATGATTCTTGTTGGTAATATTTTGGTAAAGATAAACGTAAAAACATATTCTCCTTTCTTTCCATATTAAAAAAAATTTACAAATATTGACTTTTCATCATAAAATATTTATATAAAATCGTAACAGCTTAGGTAAATTTTGTTCTTCTAATTATTAATCAGGCAAAATCAAGTTACTAAATTAATCTTTGTCAATATAATTTTTTCTTAAGCTTTATTTCATTACATACATAAAATTATTCTTCAAATTAATATAACTTATTATTAAGAGATAATGACCAGATACATTAAATAATTTTACTAATGGTCGGATAATAAAATTAAAATATACTAACTATTCTATAAAATTTCAACATGTTATTTAGTTATGTATTATGTCAACCATGAATTCATTTTTACTTTGATTTCTTTCCGTAATGAAATTCTAATAAAACTTATTTTCATTGTAGAGTAAGATAAATAACTATAAATTTTTATGATGCAAATGCTACGCATGAATGATTGCAGCTCTTTTCCTTCCATTTTCTTTTCAATAATTGTTGGCACAACAACCAAGACTATTAGTGAGCTGCCTGCCAGCATTTGATTCCTTGTTCTTCACATGGTTTTCTTTTGGGCTGGACCCCACAATTCCCCCCCTCCAGCCAAAGGGAAATATACTACAGTTCTTCAAATGCATTCCATGCTGATCAACTCGGCACAAAGCTGAAGCTTTCCTCCTGTTACAACTTTCGTCATCATGTCAGCAGGATTCTTGTCAGTGTGAATCTTTTCCAACTTGAACTGTTGTTCTTCCACTACTTGTCGCAACCAATGATATCTTACATCAATGTGCTTCGTTCGAGAGTGGTACATCGCATTCTTACTTAAATCCAATGCGCTCTGACTATCACAATGGATATCGCACCTTTCATGCTTCATTCCCAATTGTTGAAGAAACCTCTTCAACCAAAACATTTCTTTGCATGCTTCTGTCATTGCAATATACTCTGCTTCGGTGGTCGACAAGGCAACAGATTTCTGCAATTTAGATTGCCAAGATACAGCTCCTCCTGCAAATGTAAACACAAACCCTGAAGTAGATTTTCTACTATCCAGATCACCTGCCATATCTGCATCTGTATAACCTTCAAGAACTGGGTTTCCTTGCTGAAGCTCAAGGACTTATTTGCACTGCCTTTTAGGTACCTCAAGATCCACTTCACAGCTTCCCAATGATCCTTCCCAGGATTGGAAAGATACCTGCTAACAACTCCAACCGCGTGAGCGATATCTGGTCTGGTACATACCATGGCATACATCAAACTCCCGACTGCCGAGGAGTATGGAACACCTGCCATAGCTTCTTTATCTTCTTGACTCGTAGGACAACTTTGTTTGCTGAGCTTGAAGTGATTAGCCAACGGCGTATTAACTGGCTTAGCAGTTTTCAGGTTGAATCTCTCCAAAATCCGATTCACATACCGTTCTTGCGATAACCATAACCTCTTGGATTATCGGTCTCGCATTATCTGCATGCCCAAAAATTGTTTCGCAGGGCCTATCCTTCATTTCAAAGGACTTTGCTAAATCCTTCTTCAGATCACCAATCCACTTCATATCCTGTCCCACTATCAACATATCATCTACATATAGCAAAAGGATAATGATTTTATCACCTGAAAATTTCCTAACAAACACACAGTGATCTGCATCAGTCTTGGTATATCCATTGCTCGCCATAAACGAGTCAAACTTCTTATACCACTGTCTAGGAGCTTGTTTCAATCCATACAAGCTCTTCTTCAATCTGCAAACCATGTGCTCCTTTCCGGTCCTCTCAAATCCTTCTGTTGCTCCATGTATATTTCTTCATCTAGATCTCCATGAAGAAATGCAGTCTTCACATCTAGTTGTTCAAGCTCCAGATCCAAGCTAGCCACCAATCCGAGTACTACTCGAATAGAGCTCATCTTTACAACTGGAGAGAATATCTCATCAAAGTCTATTCCTCGCTTTTGTCCAAATCCTTTCACGACTAATCGAGCCTTGTACTTCAACAGCTTGTCACCATCTTTCTTAAGCTTGAACACCCATTTATTCTTCAAGGCTTTTCTGCCTTCTAGAAGCTTCACAAGCTCATAAGTTTCATTTTTTACCAGTGAATCCATTTCTTCTTGCATGGCTTTCATCCACTGGGATTTATCCTTATGAGTCTGAACTTCTTCAAAGCTTTCTGGCTCCCCTTCTTCAGTGATGGTAATGTACGTGGAACTAGGGTATCTCGTAGATGGTTGGATCGCTCGGTTTAATCTCTTGAGCTGAGGTGGAGCTTCGAGATCTTCCTGCTCAACACCTTCACCATCACCATCTTCTATTGTTAGCTCATCATCAACTCTGAGTTCTCCATCACACTCTCCCCCTGCTGTGGCATCTCCAGGAGGTTTGATAGGTGAAAGATCCACTTTTCCACTTGGTTCTCTGATTTCTGGTGAAGTAGAATCAGACATAGTTTCTTGCTCATGGAACACTACATCTCTGCTTCTGATAATTTTTCGATTTTTTGGATCCCATAACCTGTAGCCAAATTCCTCATCTCCATAGCCCAGAAATGTACAAGGAATGGCTTTATCATCAAGTTTTCGTCTATGTTCCTTGCTAACGTAAGCAAAAGCTATGCATCCAAACACCTTTAGATGAGAGTATTTAACATCACATCTGGACCATACTTTCTCAGGGATATCAAAGCTCAAAAAAACAGATGGAGATCGGTTGATCAGGTAGCACGCCGTTAGAACGACTTCACCCCAGCATGGCTTAGGTAGCTTAGCCATTCTTAACATGCACCTCACTTTCTCCATAATGGTTCTGTTGATTCTTTCAGCCACACCATTATGTTGTGGGGTTACAGGTACAGTCTTCTCATGTCTGATGCCATGCTCGACACAATAATTCTTGAATTCATGGGAAGTATACTCGCCTCTATTATCTGAGCGAAGACACTTCAAAGGTTTACCAGTCTGTCTCTCCACCATAGCATGAAACCTTTTAATGTACTGAAAAACTTCACCCTTCGTTCTCAAGAAATACACCCACAATTTTCGTGAAGTATCATCAATAAATGTCACGAAATATTTGCTACCACCGAGCCTCTCCACTTCCATGGGTCCACATACATCAGAATACACCATCTCCAACACATTTTCTTTCAGCTTCGAGGTCTTGCTGAAAGACACTCTATGATGCTTCCCAAAGAGACAATAATCACAAGGATTCAGTTTGAATCTTTGGCAAATGGGATGAGGGACTTTCTTGCCA